ACACCTCTACACAACAAGTATACCAACTATCATAAAATGGACCGGCCTTGGTGCCTTAGACCGATTAGTATGGTGAGAAGACTCACCTCAGACTGTAGAAGCTTCTCGCATGAATTCCTTAGCTGCTGCCCCGCCAGCTTCTTGAGTTTCATCAAGCTGAGAATGAGTTTCATCAAGTTGAATTTATTTTGTATACAATTTTACTGGTTAAAATTTATATTCAATTTTAATTCGACGTTATACGGATTGGAACCGGTTTCTAACTTTGTTAATAAAACAACATTTTATTATTGAGCTATGGAGTTTAGATTAAGTTTAAAAATATTTTAAACTTTTTTTATATCTTTAAAAGCTTGGCTACTTTAGAGTTTAAAAAATATTCAAAAACTCTTTTTAACAAAAAACTCAATTTTGACATCTTATGTTGAAACTTTTATATAAAACTCTAAACACCAAGTTTGATGTTATTTTTGTGAAAATGTTTTTTCATGACAAACATATTTTCATACATACAACATTTTACAACAACCAAAATAACCATCACATGCATGCATTTTAAAGTGTATAAACAAAGCCATTTTTTATAGTAATGTTTATTGTGAGCCATCACAACAAATATTAAGTCATTTCCTAAAGGACTTAATGGGACACTTCAAGGTCTTCAAAAAAAAGGCTCCATGTCTTCATATCTTCATAAGATCTTTAAGCTCCATCTTGTTACATTTTTATAAAAAATAAAATACAACTAGTCTAAAACTAATTTATTACATATAAAAATAAACACATGAAATAATACCTATTTATCTACTACATAATCATATGAATAAATAGTAACCACACATGTCCTAATGGCTTGTTTATACACAACGAACATATCGACCATACCAACAAACAACTCTTTGTTTTTTCTAAGGCAACCTTTATATAACCAAAATGCATGGAAAAATGGTTATATAAAAAACACTTTTAACAACAAGTTGCCAAAAAAAACAAATATGGATATTTCTTTAGCCAAAAAGAAATCCATGCTTGTTTTCCAAAAAAACCAAAGATTATCATAACATAAAAGTCATTATAACATTTAAAAGATGGCTCTGATACCACTGAAGGGTTTTTGATGCATAAAATAGATAGTTTTTCACAAAAACCGGCAACGGAAGCTTTAAAAAGTTCTTATAAATTTCGAGTGTGACAACAAAACAAACCATAAAGGATCCTTTTAAAGAGGTTAGAATGATGTTACAACAACCATAGGGTGTTTACAAATAACAACCTTTGATGCCTTTAGACCCTCTTGGATTTGAGGTGTTGAAGTAGATGGCAAGAACAAGAAGCTTGATCTTCTCTACAAGTAATCCACCAACAAGATAAGGTACTCAAAATGCTATTTTTATTCTTGTATGACTTTGTTCTTTAAGCCTTAAGTGCTTAAACAATTAAGCACTAGAAGGAAGACACAAAGTAAGCACTAAAAGCTAAAACACCAACTTCAAAAGTGGAGAGAGGCTCTCGCTTAGGTGCTCTCGAATTTAGAGAGAAATAGAGAGGAGAAAGACCAAAAGGAACTCTCCTCATTTCATGCACAAGAGTCCCCATACACCCATGCAAAGTAAAGTCAAACCATTAAAATACTCTAATGTATTTTAAAGCATAAAGTGAAAGGGGGACAAAGTATGGACACCAACTTAGGAAGAAAACACAATCAATCTCCCATACACTAGGCCATTTCAGACATGATGACTTGGAAGAGAGAAAAATATTATACAACTTTATTAACCATGGTAGAGTAAGTCTTTAACTTATTCATGGTTAACAAAAGGGTCCAAAAGTTTGTACATGACTTATTATATGATACCATATCATATAATGTCTAGTTTCTAGTTTCTTTTATTATTATTTTCATAAAACAGTAATTATTCTCTAATTAAATACAAGAGTTGAATTTATTTATTAATATCAAATATATAATAAATATTCAATAAGTACGAACTTGATTAAGGTGTGACCCTATAGGATCATATGTTATTAGCAACATCACTCAATAATGATTCTTGAGCATATAGATCCAACAATATGTTATGAGAATTGCTTGATAGGATGAAGCTAGGGATACTTTCAGGAATTGCATGATAGATTGACCTGATATGTGATGCCTTGTAGCCTAAGGAGAATTGGATGCTATGCTAGATTGGGAATATGTATTGGTATTAGTAATTGCTAAGTGTATGCTAAAAATTGTATACGGTTAGGATCATATAGACCTAGAATGATTGATTTGGCCTTATTTCCTGTTCCTCGTTTGGTTGTGGTCTTAGGGTAGATTCTTTTATTCGACAGTCTATTTGATCCTGTATTGTGTATAATTTGCATGCATAAGGCAACCGACAGTGAGAGTGGAAGTTCCTAGCATGAGTTGTAGTATGAAAGTGTGAATGTTCTTTGTTTATTCTATGGATTGGAATGTTACTGCATGAATGCTGCTTGCATTTGTGATTTGTGGAACTCTTAAGTGATGTGAATTAGCTACTAAGTGAGTATATTAAGTCACATGTGACAAAGGTTGAATAATCTTAGCGTGATGAATTTGACCCTATTGCGTAACTCTCGTCTGAGTCTAATCGTTGTAGAGATGAGTCTGTTAATCGAAGGATTATCTAAGCTTTGTTGCATGTGATTGTATTCATGAGATGAGTAACTGACATTATGGGGAGTTCTTAAGCAGCTGATGGCAGAATGAGGTTGGAAACCTAAGAAAGCCTAGGAAGTGCTTCTGTGGGTTTAGTTGCGCTGTTTAGCAATCATGTGGAGTATCAGTCTGAGAAGGTGACTTAGAGGATTTGGGATGATTCTTGAGGAAAGTATGGATAGGTGTGGAAGGTAGTATTTGGCTCGTACTACTGAAAGCATAGGATCCATACCCGAATCGAGGAAAGTTTTGGAGAATCTAGGAAGCCCGGGAGATGAGGATTCTTGGGTATGTTCTTACCATTTGCATGTTGTTTTTCAGTATGGTGATGATCACTAGGGAATGAGGTTCGGGTTCTGATTCAGGCTCAAGTACAGGTGTCGAGCCGATCGATGAGCGCATGTGGGAGTTCATCTCATCGGATATTTCCCGCGTATTTTGGAATGGACTCCTGTGATCTTTGGTTTGGTCAAGGAAGGGATTTTGGAGCTCTTGCATGGTCGTCTCGGGGCTTTTCAGGCCGAGATTATAGCGGGGCAGTTGGGGAGTCATCTGGAGCCTAAAGTTTGTGGAGCTCTAGAATCCTTTAAGAAGGAGGATCCTATTGCTAGTTCTTGCCATTTGGGATCGTAGGTGGGTTATGCACCATGTTTTCGGGTGGGTCAATCCCATGATTGGATTGCCTCTGAGGTTTCACGAGCCTTACACGAGGAGTTACCCGACATCATTGGTCGTGTCACTGATAGATTGGCGGACGGGTTCGGCGGTCGGACCTTGGCTGTTCAGACAGATGATGTGTGACATCCAGGAATTTACATCAAAGACTATGAACGATCAAGTTCACAGTAAATCTCTTTGTAATTTTATTCGTTGAATTCAGTGCATCTTATGTGAAATAAATAAATTCATTTAAATTATTATAAGATAGCAGATGGTATCTTACTTTCAAATATGTAATTTGGCAAACAAATCAAACAGCTCAAACTGCAACCCAATGGATGCGTCTGAAAAACTAAAATTTCATATTAAGCCGTTGTAAGAAAAATAAACACTCTAGCCTCGTAGTACACGTTTCCCTGATTCCGAAAATATAAAGAACGTCCAAAACGGAGTTCATATGCAAAAGATACGACCGTTTTAAGAATCCAAAACCAGTATAATACTGATTTTCTTAAAATCGCTAAAACCGTTTCTAACCGTTGAGGAACTTGCACACCTCAAATGGAAGTTATGAAAGTATTTTTGGACTCAAGCTATAGCCTAATATTTAATTTCATATTTGAAATATTTCCGTAAAAATATTTATAAAAATAAAAAATCAGACGTTTTCAGCTTAATTAAACGCGAAACTTTAAACGTCATTTCACGGAGATTAGTCAAACAGAATTCAATTTCGTCTGCATTTTTTGAATCACCACGACCTGAACATTAAGCAGACACTTTGAGAAAATTTATATAATCGGTGCGAGGGCATGATAATCGAGGTATACATCACGATAAATAAATATATATGAAATATATTGTAGTTATTATTGTGAAAAATGTTTATAAGTTGTATAGTGACAAACCACTATATATGTATATATATTTTTGGTGTCGTATGCGACTTCAAAAGATCCAAATTAGTAGTGTAATCACAATGCATATATATTATATAATTAAAGGGAATTGTTTATAAGGTCCTAAATAAATACATACATCTATATCTATATAACATGAATATACATCAATAAACATCCAACTTCAACCAAATACATAGCCATTGAATCAAACGTACAAATCAATGCACAAATTATACACATGATACATAAACTCTATCAAAACCAAATCAATTAACAAGTAAAATATAACAGCTAAATTATAGATTACTTCCAAGTTTCACCTTCACCAAAATCACACTCAAAAACTTTTGTTTCTCTTGTTGGTCCTTCCATTGCATTGCAGCCATTCTACCTCCGGAACACTCAAGCAAAGATTAACACTCAAACAAAATCGACACTCCATGCTAATATAAATATATACAATGATAAAATCTTTTTGTGAGGTATGGATGATCCAGAATCAAACACCCATCGATTCACTGTAAAAACATCAACACCCAAATATCCATTCCTTCATTAGTTTCTATCAAAACAAACAAAGAAAAAAGGTATTTTCGTTGTTCTTCTTTTCCTCTCTATCAATTTATGTCAAAAACAAATCCAAACATCCATCTTTATCCTACATTAATTCCTATCACAAAATAATAATAATAATAACAATAATAATAATAATAATAATAATAATAAATAAAACAGATGAAACAAGGAATTACCGGAGCTGCAAAAAATCCCTTTGATTTTGCCTTGGTCCGATCAACTCTCGGACGGATGAAGACCGAAGGTGCTCTCTCTCCTTGCCTTACAGAATCATCATCGAAGCCCCCCACCTGAGACGTCGCTGCTGTCTACTTCCTCACGAACGCCTCTTATGACTCCCTCCACTTCGCACCTCACGACTGGAGTAGAGAAGAAACGATTTCGCTGCCCCGTTTCTCGTCCTTTCTTCGGTCCAACCAAACTCCGGAGGTGCAACCTCCTTCCTTGACTTCTGTCGGCTTCAGGACGCACGAACCAGGGAGAAATCATCAGACTTGAATTCTCGCTGCCTCCTCCTTTCTTCTCCCATCGACCTTGCTGCTGTTCATCTCTGTCCTCTTGGTTGCCGACATCGAGTATGAAACCAAAAAGGGGTCGTCGGAGAAGCGATTGTCCCTTTCCCTCCATCATCGCGATGAATCTTCGCAGTCACCCCCTTCCTTCGTTTACTGCCGTTCCTTTCAATTATCCCCGATCAAACAAAAGACGCAAACATAAAAGTCCTAGGATCCTTTTAACTTCGATAAAATAACCCATAAACCCCCCTGCTGCAACATTCTTTTAAAATAAGCCCTTTTTCCCAAACGTTGGTTTATTTAAAAAAAAATAGCCCCTCCCATGGAGATTTCTTAACAATACCAATCCAAGACTCAAACACTAATCCCATTTTGACCATTTCAGTCCCTCCCTTGAATTATTTTAACCAAAGCAGTCCTATTTTGGTTAATTAAATTATCAAAAAGCCCCTATAGTTTAGTAAAGTTACAAAACAATCCTTATGGTTTAAATTTGTTACGAAATGGACCCAAAAGTATTTCAAATTTGTTACGAAATGGTTTAAATTTCTCACGTCAAGCTTCTCAAAGAAATCGAATTCGAACGATTGGAACTCACGCTTCAAAGTGAGTGCTTACGACCTATTTTTAATATTTTCATTATTTCGGGGGGGGGGGGGGGGGGGGGGGGGGGGGGGGGGGGGGGGGGATACATGTGCCTAAATATTTTGTTTATACAAATCAATTTCCTTTTTATGCAAAAATACAATAAATCTAGTTTCTAAAATATTATTATTTAACAACCTACCATATTGTTACGAATAAACTAGTATAAATTTTTGGTATACGTACTGTTAGGGCCAGGATCCTCAAAGCATTTAGGATCCTCAAACATCATCAAATATTCAGGATCCTCAACTATCTTAGGATCCCGACTATCACCGTTATTATTATTGTTAGGACATAATTAATGGTTTATACTTTACTTTTGTTGGATTTTAGTGTTCTCGGTCCAAGACCGAAAACTACATGAATTTGGTATTGATTGGACCGAAATCACCTTGTGATTTCGGTGGGCCTAATAAGGATTTCGGTTGGGTTTGGGCTCGGCCTTTATAACTAGGTATAGGTATATATATCTTATTGTTTTAGCCATGAAATAGTTAGTCATTCCAAGGGGCTGAGATCGAGTTCGAGAGAGAAAGAGAGAACCGAGAGCAACTTAAGAATCTTATGTACTAGACTATTATCAATATAGTGTGTATTGAAGATTGATAACTGTGTTCTTAATTCATAATAACTGTTTTGCATTAATCACTTGATTAGGATTCCGCACCAACTATTGTGATTTCGATTGATACTTTAAATAGGGTTTTACAATTGGTTTCAGAGCAAGGTTTTATGTCAATCGAATTGGCAAGATTTTTAAATGATTATTGGAATTTCTCTTGGTATTTTAAGTTTTTTTTTTACTAAAAACTGTTGCTACTGTTCTTCATTTATTGGAGACAGTGATCAAAATTGGTTTTGAGAAATTACCAATTTCGTGTTTCCGGTACTTTTGGAAGTTTTTCGAACTGATCTGGACGTTTTCGGCGGCTGGTTAAAGTTCTCGGCTAGGTTTAAGGTGATTTCGGCGGCTACCTGTAGTCTTGGTCAACGATCTCGGTGAAAACAGGGTCTTCGGTCTCATTCCCGGTCAACGTTTTCGGTTGAAGGGTTTTCGGTCAACAATTTTTGACCTTTGATTTTTCGGTCAAATTTAGTAGTTTTCGGTTAAATCTCATACTTTTCGGTTTACAGTGGACTTCTACAACACTTCTCATTCTACAATGCAAAGTGATATTGATTCAGTTATGGGGACAACAACTCGAATTCCCCGGCTGCTGACTGCTGAAGGATTTCCTGAATGGAAATTCAGATTTGAGAAATATGTTAAAATGAAGGATATCAAAGTGTGGAGAAGCTTCCTGAAAAGTCCAGTCAAGATAACAACCACTCTGGATGATGAAGCTAAGACTGTGGTTGATAAGCCTATAGAGGAGTACACTAATGAGGATTTCGACAAGATCGAAGATGATGAGAAAGCTCTAGCTATTCTTTCCATGGCCTTGTCTCCTGACATTGTTCAAGGTTTCAGGGAGTATATATTTGCTAAGGCTCTGTGGGAAGCCTTGATTGAGGTGTATGAAGGCAATGAGGATATGAAGCAAAGCAGTCAGGATTTGCTTCGTCAAAGATTCAACATGTTCAATCATGTTCTTAGGGAGACTATGGAAGTTCAGTTGCAGCGTTTTATCACTCTCAACACAGAAATGAGCACTGCTGGAATTGTGTTGTCTCGCTCTGAGATAAATAAAAAGTTGCTCAATTCACTTCCTAGGAATTGGGATATGAATGTATCTGTATTTAAGAAGACAAAAGACCTGAGCAAACTCTCTCTTGCTGAAGTGATGGCTATCATCAAGGCATGTGATATGGATGACAAACAGAGAGAAACTAATAATGTCACTTCCTACTCAACTGCAAACTTAGGAGCATCCTCTAACAATGCATTTTCAGCTGTATCATCACATCATGCTCCTCCATCCTTTGGTCTACCAATGGTTTCTCCCAACTCTTCTGCGTCCATTTCCACCACGAAATCCACCTCGCAGATTCCAGTCGTTGCCAAAGGAGCTGAAGAAAATATGGCTCTGATGGCTGGATTCATGAATTGCTATAATGCCTTTGTTGTTGGTGAATTGGTTCCTCCAATTATGATTGGAGAACTGGATCAAATTCACCAGAGGATATTGAAGAGATGGATATATCATGGCATATTGCTATAGCGGTGTTCAGAGCGAAAAAGTTCACTCAGCAAACTGAAAAGAACAACTAGGGACTGAATGTAGATAAGAAGGCGGGTTTCAACAAAAGCAAGCTGAGGTGTTACAACTGTCACGAGGCAGGTCATTTTGCTCGTGCGTGCACCAAGCCAAGAGTGGAGAATAATGCTGAGTGGGTTTTGGTTCCAGCTGGAAACAACAGAGAAGTGCCTCAGAATAATGAGAAAGCTATGGTGGCACATCAGTTCTCGTGGGAAGATCAAATGCAGTCTCTCAATATTGCTGAGGATGGAAGATCTAATCTTTCCCAGATTGAAGATGGTGATGATGTTGATCTGGCTGAGGAAAAGATGATGGAGTTGCAGTTTGCTTTCATGGTCTCAACCACTCCTACCACCAAAGAGGTTAGTAAAGTTTCATGGTCTAAATCTTACGTAGATAAAGTTAATAAATATCGTGAGTAAAATGAGTTACTAGTTAGAGAAGTTTTCGATCTTAAAAATGAAATCTATGAAATCAAGAAAGTAAACAAGCCTCTTAAAGAAAAACTAGATGCTCAAAATAAAGATTTAATTACGCTTAGGGAGGAATATAGCACAAAATGTGTTCACCATCGTTATGCTAAAGAGAAAATTGCTAAATTAACTGCCGAACATGATGCGTTGAAAGCTAAATTTAAAGATGCTGAATCAAAAGTACAAATCAACGCACAAATTATACACATGATACATAAACTCTATCAAAACCAAATCAATTAACAGGTAAAATATAACAGCTAAATAATAGATTACTTCCAAGTTTCACCTTCACCAAAATCACACTAAAAAACTTTTGTTTCTCTTGTTGGTCCTTCCATTGCATTGCAGCTATTCTACCTCCGGAACACTCAAGCAAAGATTAACACTCAAACAAAATCGACAGTCCATTATAAAATCAATGTATACAATGATAAAATCTTTTTGTGAGGTATGGATAATCAAGAAAAAAACACCCATCGATTCACTGTAAAAACATCAACACCCAAATATCCATTCCTTCATTAGTTTCTATCAAAACAAACAAAGAAAAAGGAATTTTCGTTGTTCTTCTTTTCATCTCTATCAATTTCTGACAATAACAAATCCAAACATCCATCTTTATCCTACATTGATTCCTATCACAAAAATAATAATAATAATAATAATAATAATAATAATAATAATAATAATAATAATAATATTAATAATATTAATAAAAAAAAACAGATGAAACAAGGAATTACCGGAGCTGCAAAAAATCCCTTCGATTTTGCCTTGGTCCGATCAACTCTCGGATGGATGAAGACCGGAGGTGCTCTCTCTCCTTGCCTTACAGAATCATCACCGAAGCCCCACACCTGAGACGTCGCTGGTGTCTACTTCCTCACGAATGCCTCTTCTGATCCCCTCCACTTCGCACCTCATGACTGGAGTAGAGAAGAAACGATTTCGCTGCCCCGTTTCTCGTCGTTTCTTCGGTCCAACCAAACTCCGGAGGTGCAACCTCCTTGCTTGACTTCTGTCGGCTACAGGACGCACGAACCAGGGAGAAATCATCGGACTTGAATTCTCGCTGCCTCCTCCTTTCTTCTCCCATCGACCTTGCTGCTGTTCATCTCGGTCCTCTTGGTTGCCGACATCGAGTATGAAACCAAAAAGGGGTCGCCGGAGAAGCGATTGTCCCTTTCCCTCCATCATCGCGATGAATCTTCGCAGTCATCCCCTTCCTTCATTTACTGCCGTTCCTTTCTGTTATCCCCGATCAAACAAAAGACGCAAACATAAAAGCCCTAGCATCCTTTTAACTTCGATAAAATAACCCATAAACCCCCCAGACGCAACATTCTTTTAAAATAAGCCCTTTTTCAAAAACGTTGGTTTATTTAAAAAAAAATATCCCCTCCCATGGAGATTTCTTAACAATACCAATCCAAGACTCAAACACTAATCCCATGTTGACCATTTCAGTCCCTCCCTTGAATTATTTTAACCAAAGCAGTCCTATTTTGGTTAATTAAATTATCAAAAAGCCCCTATAGTTTAGTAAAGTTACAAAACAATCCTTATGGTTTAAATTTGTTACGAAATGGACCCAAAAGTGTTTCAAATTCAAGAATTGTGGATTTACGGTTTCTCACGTCAAGCTTCTCATTGAAACCGAATTCGAACGATTGGAACTCACGCTTCAAAGTGAGTGCTTACGGCCCATTTTTAATATTTTCATTATTTCGGAGAGGGGGGGGAGGGGGGGGATACATGTGCCTAAATATTTTGTTTATACAAATCAATTT